CAATATCGAATCATGCTCCTTATTTACTCATTTATTACTTAGTTCCCTGTGCAACATCGCCGTTGCTGGGCCCAAAGCTGAATGAGAAAGAAGGATGATTATGGACAGTGGCGACGTCTCCCATAACTCTTAGTCACTTGCTCTTCATGGTGTTTGCCTTTGCCGAACATTATGCCAGCTCGGTCATCGCCCAAGTCACCAAGGGTGGCGCAGGCAGTTGAGGAATTGAGGCAGACCGCGAAAAGTCAACGATCAGAACCTTGTTCTAGCCTTCTCCCATCTGAATGTGTAACAGCACAATGACGCTTGCCGAAGATAAAGAAGAACACGACGAACATGCCAGTACCCGTATTGAACTAAGGAGGCAGACAACTCAATGCCATTATATACACAGGAACCATACTGACATTGAGAGCCCATGTTCGGAAATTGGAACATCTCCTTACTCAGAAGGAAGCAACAGGAGCGAGTTGATGAAGCGCAAGATACCGACTAGACATGGACTCTCGTCACTGCAGTTCTAGGGCTCTGGAATTCTGAATCTCTGCGGGTAGAAACTGTTCTCTTCCGATGTCCAGATTAAGCTGCATGCTCAGTCCGGTGTTGGTGATCTGGTGGAACCCAGTCTGTCGGATAGAATCACTGAAGAATGGTATCTTCCGACAGGCTAAAACTTTTTTCCTGTTACAGACCTTTGCGCCCAATCTTCGGGGAGAACATGAGTCCTTCCTTGAGGAAGTGGAATACGCCCTGCACAAAGTGCCGACTAGTGAATAGTCCCTCCTCATAGCGTGCGTAGGCACCCCTGCTATTGGGACTCTTTTGCACAGAAGTCAATAATCGATCTGATTTATGATGCTCTGTAATTAATGTTCACGTTAAGAGAGGACAGTACCGTCAACTGATCATCACCTTGTTGTTGATACCCTCCCCCTAGACTCTGGAGCATCATGCCTGGCGGAAAAAACAACCGGCGAATCAAAAATGGAAAGCGTCTTCTGCGGATACGAGGGTTAAAGTCGCAAACAACATCGCACTACGGTTTGAACAAATCCTCTAGACGACGGCGGACTCGGAAGCCAAGTAGGAGCTCTTTATGAGCGGCTTACTCAAAACTGACAAATAATGGTATCGTTTAAAATGGATTGGTATGCTAATTGCAGATCTCAAACGATCTTTCTAGTAGAACTAGAGGTTTTTCTGATCTGAGGCCACTGAGAAGAAGGCTATGTCCAAGATGATTCGTAACGAAGAGCTTTTGTCTCGTATACGGTATGAAGAAACGTGCAGTGTGGCAGCGGAAACCGACCGAAATAAAAGATGATTTCTGGGACAATTTTTTGAGGTGTTAAAGTTGAATTTCTAGACGGCATACAGGGTATTCAGGCAAAAATCGGCCACCTCTGCCATGAAAGTAAGATCAGTCTTAAATGCAAAGTTCGGACGCCCTCTTACCGAGGGGAAAGACATTATTCGGCGATTGCAAATTTGCTTTGAGGACTCCTTAAGCCCGAGAAATTGCAGGAAGACTTACCTGAAGGGCAGCAGGCAGCAGATATTAGTCTTTCAGTAGATATAATCACAGAAGCAATGAAAGCATTAAAATTGGCTAGGCTTTTTGAATCGATAAAATCTGCTTTGAAATGCTTAAAAGCGTTATGCGATGAAGGCTTGTTTTTGCTAACACATGTCTATGAAACTGCCTTGGCTACATGAATTTCACCAGTGCACTGGAGAACGGGAGTTGTATTACCCCTGTTCAAGTAAGAAGGTCATTGAGAGTAGTTTACTTATCAGACGCTCCTTTATTGAGACTACCGTGAAAATTCTACCAAAAGATCTTGGGAACGAAATGTCACTGAATAGTTGACTCTAGGATCCATGAAGTGAGGTGCAGTGTTAGGTGAGGCGATGCTTCTCTGACAAGGTCTTTGCCTTACGCCGGGTTATTGAAGAATCGTGGCGGTTCGTTCATCCGTTTTGTATGTACTGCGTAAGCCTAGAGAAGACCCCTGACCAGATCCGGCGCTACAAGTGTGCCTGCAAGCATGTGACATCGATTGCCAGTTTATACGGGCCATGCAATCACTATGTGCTGATATCAGCTGCTAGGACAGAGTAAATGGTGTTTAGTCGAAATCGTTCAGCGTGGCACTGGTTTCCACCAAGACTGCACTCCGTCGACTCTCCTGTTTGTGTTGTACATGGATAGTCAAGAGGAGCCAAGGCGATGAGTGTATCGGTGTAGAAGATGTGAAGACGAGAAGGTTGCTGTTTGGAAACGACTTCATATTATTGGCATCTTCTGAACCTGAAGTACAACGCTCTCTGGAAAGGTTCGCAGCTTGTGTGAATGGCCGGCAGGCGCGGGAACGCATCTAAAACAAAAAGCCTAATGCTTTCTCGTTCTCCTGCCCATTGCTCTGTTCATATAAACGGAGAGGCAGTGGAGCAGGTGGAGAAGTTCGAGTACCTCGGAGTCGTATTTACTAGTGACGGAAAGTTTAAGGAAGAGATAGACCGGCGAATTGGACTAACCACTGGCTTTCTGCATGAACCGGCCCTAACCATTGTGACTGAAGTGGAGCTGAGTGTAAAGACTAATCTGTCGTTTGTTCATTTCGATCTTCATCTCCATGCTCATCTGCGGTCGTGAGTCTTGAACAACGATTAAAATCGATCCTGGTTACAGTTGGCTGAAATGGGCTTTCTGAGTCGGAAAGTTGTGCTTAGCCGTGTCGACATGGCCCGGCAATGAATAAATGAGATAGCCTTGGTGTACAGCCGTTGCTTCTCCTGATTAGGAAGTCACAAGGGCGATGGTTTTGCACATCACAGGAACGTTTTCAGAAAGGAAGGAGCAATGGCTACTACTTGCCCAGCCGTCCGTCTGAAGACCCCGTTTACGAAAAAGAAATTGTGGTAACTCTGTAGAAGGATTCTGCGCCTTATTAGGGTGATCTTATGTTAAGGCTCAAATGCTGCAACCGAATTAAAAACGTTGGAATTACTGCCTAATGCGTCTCCTTTTGCGTCCCAGTGGGAGAATCATTCATTGACACTGACTTTCATGTCGTCTAGAATGTTTTTCTGATATACAAGAAAAACTTGATATTTGGACGGCAGTCTTTGTGATGACATTCAGCAGCTATTCATGAATAAATATTTATATATCGTAACCGTGATTTATATGATATTTGATATAAGGAACTGAACATGGTACTATGTTATTACGTCGTTTTGCAAGTTATTGACCTCCGTTTCTCATATCATTTCCCTGGTAGACACTTTCCGGTATTAGCGGTAAATTTGAAAAGGTTTCATCATCCTCTCCTTCTACACTTAAAAGATTTTGTTTAACGCTATGAGACTTTTGAAATGTCAATGGTTGTTTTCAAAAATTGTTGGTTTTTGATGGAGAGTACACTGTCGATGATGTCACTTACGTGTTACGATCCGATTGTGATCCAGTAATAAGCTATTTTTGTGTGACAGTTGAATGTCTTGGACGATCAATTAATTTCCCGCGCCGGCCTGCGTGTCACCGATGTTGCACTGTATAGCGCCGTTCACCATATGGCCTGATTCGGAATGCCAGTCGGTGTACCGTGGAATAATTGAATAGAAAGTGGATATAATAAAGTATATACTAGAAAAATTGTCATAAATCTCATATTAAATTCATATTGAGTCCGAGTCACCGGATTGACTAGTCATTTGCGAAGGAGGTTTTCTAATTCATTAGTATCAGGTTCGGGTAAGGTTCAAAGTCAAAGGTGTTTTTTATTTGATGTGGACGATTCAGACGATAAACTACCACGCTGTCAATCTTCAGTTGTTTTACTCCTCGTGTAGCATATCAGTGTATACCACGAGGGGTCAGTGTGATTGTTGTCTGAAACGTCGTCTCCTGAATAAGGTCGTATGATTTAAAATCTTCGCTGCATTGGCATCTATTATATCGGATGGACCGATTTTGCTTAAAACCGAATCATCATGAAAGATTAGTGTATATTATCACTTTTTTACTTACTGAAGATTTCATAGAGTTACATTTTTGCCTTTAGTTTTGTTCTTACTCTTTATCGTTGTTTTCGAGGCTCGAATACTTATAACCGCACTGATGAACTCAATGGAGAAGAACTGCATGTGATCGAAAGAACAGCCCTAAATTACTATCGAAATTTTCATAGGTTAATCGTTCGTGAGTCTCACTGTCGATAATCTTTCTATAACTCTGATTATGTTTTTTAAATAGCTCTTCCAGCACTACCTTATGTTACTTATTAAGGTTTATCACTTAACACTTCACTAAAATAGTCTTAACTTCACTATGTTTTATTATTATTGGAGTGAAAATTTAAAATGCCCTTACTGCTTACCATTGAGGCAAACCATCCTTCGACGTTGTCATAAATAAATGGTTTTAAAATTCTACTGCGTCAATCAAATGCTTAGTTTCACTTACAGAATTTGAGCTACGTCGAAACTTAAAGACTTAGTAAATTAAACAGAATAATAAAATCCAGTCTTATGAGTTTACTGGCATACTGCTCAATCCAGTATCGAAAACCATAATGGGCTAGTAAATTAAGGTTTAAATTGTTTCTAATTTTGATCCTTCAGTATACACTGAGGAGTGTAAAATTTAATTTTATTAAAGACTTATATAGCGTTGTTGAGATATATGCATGTATTACGTTTGCATGGCAACTTGTTTCTGTGAAATTTAAATTCTTGAACAGAATTTAAAGGCATTGTTATGAAAAGTGTTTAAATTGATAGTAAAGGTGCAAGCAATTAAAGATTTTCAATAAACTCATAAAATATTCATAATTAATTTTTAAATCATTCACCGTTTAATATTTTTAGTTCTTACGCACAATCACGCATTTCGGACTGTTTTTGACTCGTTTGTTTTGACTATGGTTATTTGCGCCTATTTTCATCTCTAAATCAATGAATAATGGTACTTTAGTTGTTTCTAATGTTTTTCACAGGATATGCCACCGCAGTTGCGCTCTGGCACTTCCGACAACAATCCCGCTAATGGGGAGGGCAGAAACACTTCTGCAGATGAAAGTCGTGTCGATTCTCCTCAGTCAACTGCGGACTCATCTGTGGAGCGGCCATCTGTATTTGTGTTTGCTTCTTTACTGCATACATGGGAAGAACAGAGGAACAACAACATGTTCGATCCGATACCAACGTTGACAAAGTTTACTTTTTTCTGTGCCAGTTAACGTCATTTTATTATTTCTGACTTTTTAAAGGATGGCTGAAATGATCGAAAGTGAAACCGAACAGTTTCTCAAGCAGGATCCGGATCCTTTCGATGACCGTCACCCGGGGAACATCGACCCATCAGGTGCATTAGGCTCAATGTTGAAAGAGATCTTCAAGGTAACCCAGTTCGTTTCAAAGGTACGGCCTTAAGACTTCATACGTAGTACTTTGCTTCTGAGTTACGGTAGCTCGATTTTCAGCTCGTTGAAAGTTACATGATGTGTCGTGACAACCCGATGTTGACCATGGCTGCTGCTCGTTTGCTAACCGATATTTTACCTGCGCTGGATCTGTCTGTTGTGTTCGAAGACAACGTAAGAATAGAGATAAAACTACGAACCAATGTATTTCCCAGTGTGTGAGCGTGCAGTCTATCATATTCAGTTTAAGG